TTTTCATCATGCCTCCTCTCCACGTCATCTGCTGGCCTCCACGTGGCTTTTTCGAGCCTGCAATAGCCAATGTGAATAAGGCGCGCTGCGGTAGGCGACCGTCAGACATACGTAAAACTTGTCCTAACCAACGGAGCCTATTGATCCGTATTGAACTGTATCATTACTTATTCAAAAAACGGAGATAAAAATGAAAAGGAAAAAGATGTGTGGTATTGGATATCGATCTTTCACTTTAGATGAAACTCTCTCGCTTCTGTAATGTGGTGAATGTGACTCCAAGAGGGTGCTTTAGCCGGCACACACCATGGAGACATTCCTCTATGCGAGAGCGAAGCCTCACCTATTCTCGGAGAAACGGGAGCTTTTTGAAAACAAAAGAAAACAATGCGTGTGGTTCTTGTGTGAAATCAATCGCATCGTCCTTCGGGGTGTGTAATATTCCATATAAATAAAAATGTGAGGTTGTTTTGTTGCGTTTATTGAAAATGCTGCAACGCATTTGACAGCTAAACCCAATTGGTCAAAGTAAAAGTTTTATTATGGCAATTGCTTACAAGCTCAGGCTTCTCTTGCTCCACAGGATATTTACACTGTTTAATCACAACGAGACTGCACCTTGACTGGCACCTTGGTGTGATGGCTTGTGCATCTCTCTGACCCAACGAGCTATACAGGGTGGCTTTTGTCAAGCCAGGAGATCTTTTCATACCTGGAAGGCCAATGGGTAGAAGTCAGACGAAGTCTAGTCCCCTGGTCCTTCAGGTTGGGGTTTCGAATCGAGTTAGCGTCTCGGTCGGTAAAATGGTAGAGGACTAATCGATCCAAGTAAATGGGCCTCTACTTCGCTTTACCCGCTGCCTTGCGGTAAGTTTGTTGTCAGAAATAAAGGGTTTGGACGAGAACCCTAATCGAAGCAAGACTAAAGAGTAGTTATTGATCATATCAGCATATGCTCCTACCAACTGCAGTTCTGACGAGTTTCATTATAAACTCACTGAGCTCATTCTTTTGAGCCGATATAATTGTTCTCGCAGGTGATTTTAACGCTCAAGTTGGAAAACAGTGCATCAGAAGCTCGCCTAGGCAGTCGTTGTAGTCTGCCCCGTTTTGTATCAGAACTAGGGCCAGAGCTAAACGCGCTGCGGGGTGGTAGTGTGGATGAACAGTGGAATCAGATCAAATGAGCAATGCATTCCACAGCAAAGGNGGATATCTGATGAATCAGTAGCACTGATGGAGAAAAAGCGCCAAATCCCGACCGCCCGGGATCAGAGCAGAATTAGGTGGCGTCTGCAACGTGAACTCAAGGAAGACCATGATGACTGGTGAGCAACGATTGCTAGTGAAATGGAAGTAGCAGTTGCATCAGGGAATAGTCAAAGACTGTTCCAACTGATACACAATACTGGAGGTCGGCGAACCACAGTTAGTGAAACAGTCTGCGACAAGCTGTGGACAAGCTATTCACAATGGGGAACCACGGCCTGACCGGTGGGCGTAGTACTNCAGCTGGCCAGGCACCAACCTGTCTCCTCTGGTAACTGAGGGTCTGTGGGCAGTATGATGGAAACCTCCTACTGCAGTAGAAGTTCGATCTTGCATCCAAGCGCTGAAGAAAGGAAAAGCAACAGAACCGGACGGGTTTCCTCCCACTCTTTTTAAGATGAGAGGCGATGACCTTGTAGACTCCATTACTAATTTAATGCGTGACATAAGGTCACACTAGCGCATTCCATCATCTTGGAGCGAATCACTGTGTTATGTTTTGCCAAGACGTATGATCGATATGAGCACGTTTTGACCAGCCTCCAACATTTGGAGAGAGAATACGACTGAGAAAACGACAGCCAGAGTGTTATTGATCATGAAGAAATACGTAAATATAAGTGCTAAATTAGTTGTACGAGAAACGATGTGATCACGCACCAGTCAGGTTGTGACCTTGATACACGACAGCTGTCTGAATCGCCTCAGCCATCCAATCCGGAATAGATTCCGCTTCGGGTGTCACGAACGCACTTGTAGTTTGATGCGGCTCGGTGCGTGGCCTGACGGGTTCTGTGCGCTCCGTCCTAACACACTGATTGTTCCATTTTGTGAGAAGGGATTTTGCAACGACTGCGCAAGCCACCTTGTAATAGGTTTGATCCCAATCGACACAAAATTTCTAGCCTCTGTGATACTTTGACGTCTAACACCGTTTAGGGAGACAAATATCCGTGAACAAAAAGAAGGATTTCGACCAACTCGCGATCGTATCGATCGAATTTTCACTCTGCTTCAAGTCCTGGAGCTACGCAGTACACTTCTTCGACCAACGGTTGTTGTGTTCCTTGACCCAAAAGTAGTCTTCGAATCAGTTGACCGTGAAGCCTTTACGGGTTCGCTCCTTTGCAAGGGAATGCCGCAGAAGTATGTGAACATACCGAGTTAACTCTACTCACGTACTTCTGGTAGCGTAGGGGTCTACGGCGAGCTGAGTAGGTCGTCATGGGTGCTCTCTTTCGCCATTCCTGTCGAATTTTGTCATAGACGAAATACTGGAGAACGCACAAAGTGGTCTCCAAAATGTAGGTATTGAATAGACAGCTGGAGAACAGCTGTGCGATCTAGAGTACGCTGACGACATTTGCCTGTTCGAATCTATGGATGGCGCACAAAGAGTACTTGACAGATCAGCGAGTTCTGTCGCTTCGTTCGGCATGTGCTTTGCACCTTCAAAGTACACTGTAATGCTGTAAGACTGGGTGTCGCCGAGTTCTGTTCTGAAACTAGACGATCAGGGATTAGCTGAAGTTGACTACTTTTCGTACTTAAGTATCTGCGTGACCAACGACGATAGCGCATCAAAGGAGATAACTGCCCGCGTTTCCAAGGCTCGAGCGGCGGCTCGGCGGACTTAAACACCTTTGGCGGCGACGTGACGTTTCACTGAAGTTGAAAAGTCGTGTATACTGCGCCACTGTACGATCAGTTCTGCTTTACGGGTATGATACCTTGAATTTTCGAATAGAAGATGTCCACTGACTAGAAGGTTTGAACAATGGGTTTTGACGGAGTTTATCCCACGTGGAATGGAGTGAACTGGTTAACAATCTGGAGGTAGACGGCCGTGTGTTTTGGAGTTTATATGGGATAAGCTCGTCGAATTTAGATTAGTAGGCTTCGTTGGCTAGAGTAACCATTGCGTATGCTGCACTGTTTTTTCCGCTGTAGCCGCTCCGGGTTGGAGGAACCCCTGTGGGGGTCAACGGACTACGTGGAGACGAGCCATTAGGTAGAGTAGGTGTCTCGCGTCCTCTAGGTTGTTGTTCAAAAGACTCCGCAACTGTTTGGGTCTAGAGTGAAGGATATGATAGCGAACCAACAGCAGTGGTGTTCTTGAGTTCATTTCTTATCAGGCCTGAATGCTCGAAACGCTATGCATGCAGGGTTCGGTTGCGTACTGTGTTGACCGTAGAGGTTCTCCTTCTTTCCCCTCCCGCAAGATAGGTCCAGTCTCTGTCCGCCTTAGACCTTACCATTAACCTTGTATGCATTGCGAGCTTGACAGCGATCAGTGAAGCTCACCTCACTGTATTTCATTGCATAGTAATAATAATAATAGGATCCCTGGATGGGGACACCGAAATCACCGTAACCGGTGGTTGGAGACTGAGTGATATGACTGAGTGTTGCAAACAGTGGCACTCGTTATCTTAGCAAGCTAATTCCTTGTCACTCCTCTATCTCTTCTGCTCGGAAAATTCCATCCTTCCCTCTGCTCTTTTATCCAAATGGGCACCGAAAAGACAGCAACCAAAACCGACCTATGAAAACGCATGGTTAATGGTTGTAAAAACTGAAACCTCTTTTTTCTTCTCCAGTCGGGATGAAATGCTTGAGTGGTTTAATGCTGCCGGGAAAATTTTCCGTTTTTTTCCAGGGAGTAAAGAGGATCTATTTTAATTCATAAGAGCAACTATCGTTTCATAGCGAAAAGCGAGCTCACTGATTTCTTAAAATATTTTCAGTTTCATAAACTGCCAAGTTTTCAACCAGAGTAATTTCATCGTCTTATTTTAAGTTTATTAAGAACTGTGGCTGTCCAGTAAGTATCCCTGACTGACTTTTACCATATATAATATTATATATATATATATATGTATAAAGAAGGGAAGAGAGGGTAATATGCTTAGGCTCAAGGGTGCACCAGGATGTCCGCGTGAACGGATTGGGGTTGAGTCTTACATGATCTAGAACAATCGACAAACATCAGGTTCTCCGTCCAGAGGGTTGACTCACATTATGCAGGAGTGTGAGAAAGTTCAAACACCGAACCAAAAGGTTCAGTGAGACGTGAACACGACTCACACTCACACTGAACGGCAGGTTTTCAAGGGGGTTCAGTAATGTCTTAGTTTTTTTCGTATGCAACTTATTATTTCTTCAGCGTCTGAAATGATTCTCATATCTTATTTTCCCTTTCAATTGGTGTTTTTCAACGCGATTTTGCCAGACCAAGTGCCGTGATGATGAGCGCAACTTCCGCACGACTATGCAACGACTCAGAAGTGACTTGGCAGTACTCCACGATCAGTTTAACAAACTTGATACTCAAGTCCATCTGGTCTCTGGCAAGCTGGTGATACTGGGTGATCAACTTGAGCGTGAAAGTCTTCCACGCAAGCGGATTGAAGAAGCCCGAGATCTTATTCTGGAGTTTTATAAATTTCTTGGTGCCGGTGGTGGTACGTTTGCCACTGCTGCTCTGAACTCTCAGGGAGATGAGACACAAGTGAGTTGTAATATTTTGACCATCTATTCCTCCTAATTTGGTCACTTGGTTTGCTAATCTGATGTGGTCCAGTTGTGTTGTTGATTGCAGTTTACTGTTCGTCCACTTTGTGAATAACGTTCTGGTTCATTGTTTACTTGAACGGTTTTACAGAATGGTGCATAATTTTCCTTGCTCATCCTACGATATATTTAAATTGGGAACTGTTGACAAGGTAATGAATAGTGTTTGTTCCGAGCTAACAACAAAAGGTATCGGAATTGTATTGTTTTTTTGCGGAGTTCTTCCGCTGCATCTCATTCGGTGCTTACTGATGATCAAGTTACACTGAGTTGTATTAAGGGTGAGAGGGAAACAGCTTTGTACGTTAATAAAGTATAGTCAAGGTCCTCGGCAAGGGGGGAGAAGACAAGCTTTGACCGATGGCTTTGGTATCTGGGCTGCGCTGTAAAATAAGACTGGTGAGGAAGCAAAGAAAGTAAGAGCAACGGTTGAACTTCATCTCTCTCCTTTGTATGGCAGTTCAAGGTTGACCGGGAGTCCCTTTTACCGAAGTAATCGAGATGCATGTCTGTATACGTAACCTATGCCTGTGCTGTGCCCGGGGATAGGCTCAGGAGGGCAACTATGGCCTTTCAATATACTGTAATGTGTTGTAGCTTGGATTGAATGGTCTTAGATATACATATTTTCTTACCTGAATTGGCGAGTGTTTGAAAGAGTTCACTTTTGTACTGGCTGACGGCAAAACTGTGCAATTTGATACCGAGTACACTGATCTGGAAACAGAACGATCTGGTCTGCGATTAACGCGTATGTCTAAGAGTGATAATTGATTGTCCAATTCGTTCTCTAATGTTAATCGTACGTTTCACAGTAGCCTGTTCAAATGGCTTTAAAGCGGTTCCTTCCCAGTCTCACTCGTAGTGTTGACTAATGTGTCATCTGCGTAACGTGAGAAAGGACTTCACTCTACCCCGGTGATGTACCAAACTATTTCCCCTATTGCCTATTCCTGATAATGCCTCAGTGTACCCCGATATACAAATCCTTTTTCTGCAGCACGCACTGGTGGATAAACAAAAAAATGATTCCGTAAATGCACTATGCAATTTCGCGCTTATGTGTTCTTTGTACAAACTTTGGTCGAAAAGATATTGTTTCAAGTGCTTATTTTGCTTTTGCTCAGATTGAAAAGTTCAGTGTTGCTCGAAAAGTTTGTCTTCAAGTATGCGAGTGAACTTTTCCCATCTCTTTTTGGACGATATGTTATGAAAATTCAATTGATTCTATTAGTCATTGAGTAAGGTCGCGTTACATTTAGGCTCCTGATTTGTTGTGTCCTGAGGAGCTTGAGCCAGAAGATGAGGGCTTAGTTACAATGTGCCCAGCTTTTCGGTGCAGGTTGATCGATCTGTTCTTACCTGTTGTTATTTTGTAACGTGGTCCGATTAGATCCCGTTTCTTCTGGCTCGGTATCTCCCGTGTCATTGTACGTACACTTGGTCGTCAGCTTAAATTGTCCGTTGGAGATTTCGGGAAACTCTCTTGGTTTGCTTTTGGTGGCCTAATTGACAATTTATACCTTCAACTCTTATCTATGTCCTCCTTGGTCTTCGTGGGTTCAAGGAAAAGAGGGGGTTATCATGTTTCTGGTTGTCCCACTTGTGGTCGCATATTCTAGGTTGACCAGTATAGTGGGCCTTTCCAATCTATGTCATTTGACGACGTTCTTCTGCTTTTAGCTTATTTTTTCCTTTAATTTTTACAGGTTTTTTTTTACCTTGAGCAGATTTTTCTCAAAACTTTGTTTCAAGGCTCTTGGAAAATGTGGATGTATTCGCAATTTGAGATGGATTCATTACTTTAATCGACGACTCATTCGTGTTCCTCCACCCTTTTCGGGTTGTTGTATTTCGAATAAGATTTTGGGCATATACTTATTCGGATCGTGATTGCAGGAAGTATTTTCCTACCGATACAGTGTTTAGTCATTTTCGAAGAAAGTCCCGGCACAAATTTTTAAATGACCGCCAATGTGGTTGCTTCGAAAACCTGGGATCTGTATAGGGTGTTTCCACTCAACCAGGCGATGTCTTTGCTATGGAAACATCAAGGAACGATGATAAGTTGTTTGTTTGATCTTCTAAAACTGTAATACCTGTGGTACTCTTTGATGAATGTATATCTGGTGTAGTGCGCAAAGGGATATACTCACACCATCTCAACGAGTTTCATGGTTTGCCGCTCCAATTCCTGTGAAATAAAGTCCTTCTATTATCTCTTTTTCTCCTGATACTCATTAGTCCTATCTTATTATCTAATTGCAGTGCTAGTCTTTTTTAAATTTTCTCTATCTTTGTACTTGCACTGGGTACCACTCAACTAGTCCTACTAAAAATAACGTTTGGCTTGACAGCGCTTCATTTCACTTCTTCCGATT